TGAAATTGTTGGGGCTTTGGGGCCTCCCTGGGAGTTCCCGTGGCGCCCATGTGGGCCCTCCCAGGCTATCCTCAAAAGCTCTCGTGGGGGCCTGTGGGAGTTTCAGGAGAGCCCCAGGAGGTTTCTGGAGGCCGTTGAGGCCCCACGGATCTTCAGAGTCTGGAGGCCCCAGAAAAACAAAACACGCCCCAGAACGTGCAATCGTCCGTTCACGTCCACAGACGACGACGACGACCACCACCACAACCACCACCACCACCACTACGACGACCACCGCGACGATCATCGCGACGGCGGCGGCGGCGACGGCCTGGCGGCCCAGAGTTTCTGGGGCCCTCCTCGGCCACCGTGGCAGACACGGCACTTGCGCAGCTGGGAAACATTCGGATCTTTCCGACGCGTCGCACGTCGATCATCGCACGGCTCCGCGACCGCTCACCGAGCCCTACGCCCCCCCAGAAGGCCCAGCACCTCCACGCAAGGGCGGCCCTTGCCTGGGGAACGTCTCTCTGGGTGCTTTGGGTTTCGTGGATCAGCGCAAGGCCGCAAGGTCTATTAACAACGACTGCGCTATCGGCTGGAACCTAAGGGCGCGCGTAGCGCGCGCGTGGTTCTAGTATATTTGTATACATACATATATATATATATATATATATATATATGCATATATATATATATGTATATATATATATATCGAGAGAGAGAGACATATATATATATATACAATGAAGAGCGAAGCATGCCAGTGAGGGTTGTTTCCGCGAGCTCTGTTCGTGGGGCGGCAGGTTTCGGACAGCAGAGCATGCAAGTGAATGATTACACGCTCCAACCGAACGATCTGCCGCTTGGCAATGTGTACGTAGGGGCCTGGTCAGAAGAGGGCCATATGTGCCCAGCCCCCATCTCGTGTGCAATTCGTTCGTGGGGAACTTGGTCAGTAGAAGGTTCTTCCAGTGCATTGCTAGCTCGGTGTTGCTTCGCTGGTTTGGGCGCGGCTTGCCCGCCTCACCGGGCGAGGCACAACAGTCTCGCTTGAGCACCAGATTCGGACGGGATGTTAGTGTTGCCCCAATGTTGTCCCTTAATTTTATATTTCCCCACATCCTGAGTGGGGTTCTTGTTTTCCCAGAATATCATCTCCTTCTCCCTCCCGCCTCCCGCCTCCCACCCCTCCAGGGAGGCCCCGTCTGAGCGAGGAGGGTATCGGAAGCCCAAACTATCTACATGGTTTCGTGCCCCTCCCTCCCCTCCAGGGAGGCCCCGCCTGAGCGAGGAGGGTATCGGAAACCCGTATTATTTACATGGTTTCGTACCCCTTCCCACCCCTCCAGGGAGGCCCCGCCTGAGCGAGGAGGGTATCGGAAACCGTACTATTTACATTTTCGTGCCGCTTCCCACCTCTCGAGGAGGCCCCCGCTTGAGCGAAGGGTATCGGAAACACCATATTAACAATTTACATGGTTTCGTGCCCCTCCCATCCCTTCCGGGAGGCCCCGCCTGAGCGGAGGAGGGTATCGGAAACTCCTACTAATATACATGTTTCGTGGCCCCTCCCACCCCTCCAGGGAGGCCCCGCCTGAGCGAGGAGGGTATTGGAAACCCGTACTATTTACATGGTTTCGTGCCCCTCCCACCCCTCCAGGGAAGCCCCGCCTGAGCGAGGAGGGCATCGGAAACCCGTACCATTTACATGGTTGCGTGCCCTTCCGACCTCTCCAGGGAGGCCCCGCCTGAGCGAGGAGGGTATCGGAAACCCAAACTATTTACATGGTGTCGTGCCCTTCCCACCTCTCCAGGGAGGCCCCGCCTGAGCGAGGAGGGTATCGGAAACCCATACTATTTACATGGTTTCGTGACCCTTCCCACCCCTCCAGGGAGGCCCCGCCTGAGCGAGGAGGGTATCGGAAACCAATACTATTTACATGGTGTCGTGCTCCCCCAACTCCTCCAGGGAGGCCCCGCCTGAGCGAGGAGGGTATCGGAAACCCATACTATTTACATGGTGTCGTGCCCCTCCCTCCCCTCCAGGGAGGCCCCGCCTAAGCGAGGAGGGCATCGGAAACCCGTACCATTTACATGGTTGCGTGCCCCTTCCACCCCTCCAGGGAGGCCCCGCCTGAGCGAGGAGGGTATCGGAAACCAATACTATTTACATGGTTTCGTGCTCCTCCCACCCCTCCAGGGAGGCCCCGCCTGAGCGAGGAGGGTATCGGAAAGCAATACTATTTACATGGTTTCGTGCCCCTCCCATCCCTCCAGGGAGGCCCCGCCTGAGCGAGGAGGGCATCGGAAACCCATACTATTTTCATGGTTTCGTGCCCTTCCCACCTCTCCAGGGAGGCCCCACCTCTCCAGCTTCTCCTTCGTGTTGATGTTGTCGTACCCCATGGGTCCCACGAAACCGTTAATATCTTTATGTGGGGAATTCCGTTAGCATAATCCCACCTCTGTCGTTTTGTTCGGGATGCTAGTCACGATTTACACTCTCGTGTTACTTCCTGGGTGCTGTAAAGCTTCGTTTCACACCTTCCTACCTCTAGTTTCCTCCTCCTCCTCCTCCTTCTCCTTCTCCTCCTCCTCCTCCTCCTCCTCCTCCTCCTCCTCTTCCTCCTCCCCCTCGTCCTCCTCATCCTCCTCCTGATCAGGGACGGCATGGGGGTGGAAGCGTCCAGAATCATCGGCCTGGGCGAGCTCCCACCAAAATGCGACGACATCTGCGACGGCCAGGTGCACGTTGTGAACCAGCCAAGCGGCCAACTGGTGGATCCGCCGAGTTTCCAGCTGAAGCAGCAGTTGCAACAGCCTGCAGCCCCAGCCGCTGCAAGCCCCCGAGGGTGGAGTCGGGCTGCCCCCCAGGGCCCCAGGCACAGCGGCGCGTCACCGCCCAGCCTCGGCGGGTCCCGCGGCCGCGGCGTTCTCGCGGGCCCAGGAGCCAATGGCGGCCCTCCCGCCATGGCAACGCCACCTCCTCCGAGCGGCACCCGTCCGACGAGGCCAGGAGGGCGGACCAGTCCGCGGTGAACAAGCTCTTGTATTGATTGCGCTGCTTAGGCTGTGCTTCAGAGAAAGAAAGAGAAACAGAAACAGAAACAGAAACAGAAAGAAAAACAGAGAGAAAAGGAAAGAAGTAAAGAAAGGAAGGAGTGAAACAAATCACAAAAAAGGGGCGGTGCCTGGCCGAAGCGTGCCCGCTGGCCCCCACCTGCGAGCGCACCAGCTGCGCAATCGCAATGCAAGTTTGTCTGTGCGACTCCACCCTGAGAAAGGGAAAGGATACCCTGGGTGCCCTCGCCCCCCCTCCTCCTCCTCCTCCTCCTCCTCCTCCTCCTCTTCCTCCTCCTCCTCCTCCTCCTCCTCCTCCCTCCCTCTCCTCCTCCTCCCCCCTCCTCCTCCTCCTCCTCCTCCTCCTCCTCCTCCTCCTCCTCCTCCTCCTCCTCCTCCTCCTCCTCTGGCCAGGTGGAGGAGTTCTGGGCGGGGCAGTCTGATGGGCCTTCGGCCGCTCTGGAGACATCGGGCCCCGAGGGCCCCCCGCGGACGGGCCTCGGCAGGCCCATCCTGTCCCGTGTGTTCGCCCCCATTCGGGTGTACACCGGCTGAGGCCCAGGCGTTGGGGTCCCAGGCGGCAGAGGCCAGCGCCACGAGCGAGCAGGAGCCTCAGGGCCCGCCCGAGCAGGACCAGACGCAGGACGCCATCTTGGCAGGGTCGGGCCGCTTCCTTCGGCTCTTCCTTCATCCCGTGTTCATTTCGGAAGGGGCTCGCTGCCAGTCGCTCAACGAACACCGCTCGTTGAACTGCAAGGGTCGTCCGCCTCGCAGCGGCCGTCGCCGATCTCGGACAGCACACGCTGGGCCGAATCGCCCCCCTCGTTTGGCTCCAGCCCCCGTTTGTCGAGTGAGCGCGGCTTGGCCCAGGACTTGACGTCATCGGCGCTTCGCTCCGATGACACCCCTGCGCACGCCCGGACTTGAGCTCCATCACGACTGATTGGTCCAGTTGTGTCAACGTTATTTTGCCCCGCCCCGGTCGGCTACCGTGGGGCAGTCGCTTCACGGCCACAGGGAAGCGTCCGTTGGCAGGTCTGGACAGCCGTAGCCCGTGTAACATTGTCACGAAGTTGCGATTCCAGGGCGTTGTTGGGTTCCTCGTGTTCCTCCTCCTCCCTCCCTTTGTCCTCCTCCCCATCCATACCCTTTTTTTCGTCATTATGTATCACCTTCGTCCTCCTCATCTGCCTCATCCCAGAATATTATTACACATTCGACGAAGGTCAAAGTGGTAGCATGCCGCATGCCACATACCGACCTCAGCACCCACCCACGGCCGCACCCAAACCCACATCAGGTCAGCAAACCTGGCCCCAAGCGGGTTGGAAGAGGAGGTGGGGAGGAGGAGGAGGAGGAGGAGGAGGAGGAGCAGGAGCAGGAGCAGGAGCAGGAGCAGGAGCAGGAGCAGGAGCAGGAGCAGCAGCAGCAGCAACAGCAGCAGCAGCAGCAGCAGCAGCCGCAAGAGCCAGGGAGTGCTTGGGGGGGAAGAGGAGAGGAAAACGAGCCATGGTGAGGGGGTAGGGGGGGGCGTGGCGTGGCTTCGCTGCGCGGCGAGGTTCGTAATTGTGTTGTTGCTGCTGCTCTGGATTCCCTGGCGGACCTGAGGAAGAGGAGCAAATATGGGGCGACGGGAATGGGAGGGGCAGGGGGGAGGTGGAGAGGGGAAAGAAGAGGGGAGGAGACGGAGGTCGCTGGGAGGAGGGCAGGGAGGAGAGGGGGAGGGGGGGGAGGGCAAGGGTGCGGATGGCGGGGAGGCGGGAAATGGAGGGGGGGCGCGGCGGCGGGGGGGAGAGCGGAGCGGAGGGGGGGGGTGGGGGGGGGGGGGGGGGGGTGGGGGGGGGGGGGAACGGGGGAGGGGGGGGGCGAAGGAAGGGGCAGAGGGGTGGCGGAGCGGAGGAGAGAGACGAGGGGGGGTTGCGGTGGGAGGGGGGGGGGGAGGCAAACGCCCACAGGCCCCTCCTCGCCGCCACCATGTTGAGCGCCACGGAGGCCCTCGCATTCGAGCCCCTGGTGGACGTCACGCGGTTGCTGCTGCCTGGGGAGCGCCCGCAGGACCCCACGAGGGGCGCGCAGCGGTTTCGCGCCGCGTCGACGCGGCGGCGACGCCAGCCAACGATGGCGTTCGCGCCCTCCTCCTCCTCCTGGTCGTCGTCCTGTTCCCCCTGATACCTTGGGATCCTGAAGGCAAAAAGTCTGTCAGGCGTTGCCCTCCCCTGTCCCCCCCCCTCCTCCTCCTCCTCCTTTCCTCCTCCTCCTCCTCCTCCCCCTCCTCCTCCTCCTCCTCCTCCTCCTCCTCCTCCTCCTCTCCTCCTCCTCCTCCCTCCTCCTCCTCCTCTCCTCCCTCCTCCTCCTCCTCCTCCTCCTCCTCCTCTCCTCCTCCTCCTCCTCCTCCTCCTCCTCCTCCTCCTCATCAAGCCCATGATGGCACAGGCGCACGGCTGACCAGGGCCGGTCTGGCCTCGGTATTGAAACCCCGTTTCGATCCAGTTCGCCTTGTCTCGTCACGCGCTCGGATGGGTGTCGGTGTGGTTGTTTTCATGTCGACATTCCTTCGGACCCCGGGCTACAACCCCATGTTTGCTTTGGCGATCGGCTTTTGGACGAAGGGAGGGACTCCGCTGCGCGGCGCCCAGTCGCTGCGGGTGCGAAGCGGCGGCAGGTTGGCCTTCGAGGCCCCCTCCCAGGCCACGACCCTTCTCTCCACCCATCATTGCGGTACCCTGATAGCGTTGGGCCCCCACTACATCGAGAATGGTATCGGAAGAATTTGGGGGAGTCCTGCAGCAGTGGCTGGCCGCGCGTTCGCTGTCCGTGTTAAGCATGGCCCTCCTAATTTCTGTGTTATTAGTGCTTATGTCCCGCCAGTGCTTGCGAAGGGAACCAAGGCCGCTCGTTATTACTATCGTAAGACAGTCTCGGTGCTGATAGAATGGCTGAACTCGGTGCTATGTGATCTACTCGCCCGCTGTGTCCCGATTCAGTATTCCGATGTAAATGATAGGATGGGTGGAAGGTATAGACAAGGAGTGTATGAGACGATTCCTACGAGGGTGGTGATCGCCGATACGCTCGAACGTATTCCTGGTGGGGCGGGTGAACGATTCCGCGTTCTTCTAGAGAAGCACCATACGATCGCGGGCAATGTGCAACACGTGGCCGAGTACATTTTCTTCGGTTGTATCTCATCAAGCTGTATTTACTGTGTATGTTACCCCAAGGTTTAGCACATATGGCTCGTCATGTTCATCCAGAACGTCGTTTAGGAGCAAAGTTGCAGCCTATAAGGGGAGCCCCTTCCACGGGATCATCTACCAGTCGGCCTCAGTTTGGAGGTCAACAAAGGTGGTTTGCCTCGTCCTGCTGACGATCGGGTTCGGTGGGACTATGACGGCATGGTGGAAGGGCTTCGGTCCGGGAAGGGGAGATGGGAGTTCATTAGTTCTGTACGAAATGAGCTCGTGGGGATTGGAGTGCGTTACCTACGTGATTACGCGTCTCCAGGTGAGGTTTTCGAGACTTTGGAAGGTGCTTTGGTTCGGGCGGGGCAGGCGCACTTCTCGGGGGCTACACAACGTCGAGCAGGGCACGGGGAAGATTGCGAGCGCCGCCGAAACTTGCTTCGCCAGCGAGTCGAATTACGAGGTCGAAAGGAGGAGGGGGATGCGGAGGGGGCCGAGGCGATCGATGCTCAGTCGAAGGCTCTTTCGTCTCAGCTCCTTAAAAGAACGTCGGCGACACCTGCGTCCGTTTCGTGCCAGATTGCTTCATGAAGCCAGCGAATGCTGGGCCAAGAGGCGCACTGCGGAGGCAATGAAAGCCTCCCACCGTGCCGCTCGTTGTCGGCATGGGCCGAACCGTCGAGATGCACGATGGGCCACCGGTGCGCCTCCAGATGCCGACGACTGGCTCCGCGCGCGGCAGAAACCTGGCCTTGCGGGCGGCATGCAGGTTGAACCGATTGTCTGGGAGGAGTGGAGAGACGAGACAGAGGGCGAGACGTACGACTACGCGGCGGGGGACTCTGAGCTCACCTCCTTGGCGCAGCAAGACCTCCAAGACTTTCGATCTCATCCTAGGGGTGCGCCCAAGAGGCGCGCGGTCCCTGTCTGCACGGCCCCTCTCGAGCCCTGGCATACGCAGCCTTTTTCCACGGTGGAGGGCGCAGCAGAACTTAGGCGCGGGCGCGAGTGAGGGCCCCCCCGAAAACAAGGTTTTGCGGTTCCTCTTCCGCGTTGGACTCCTGAAGATTCGCAGGCGTTGCATTACCCCCGTGCCCTGGCACCGTAGTCAGGCCGCGGCGCCCCCGAAGTCGTTGGCGGTCGGCCCTTCAGGCGAGCGGGTCGCGCGCGCGCCGCCGACGGCGGGGGAAGGGGCATTGCTCGAAGAAGTCGAGACCACCATCCTCTGATCCGGATCATGGGTCTGCACGAGGACGACGACGAGAGAACGCTGTAGTTATATCGAACCGCAAGGAGGGAAGGTTGCAATAAACGAAAGCGGCGAGGCGAGTGTCCAAATCTGCCCCGCCAATCTGACACGCGGAACGCAGCGCCTCAGTTTTGGGGGCCTCCAGGGCCAGGGCACAATGCAAATTCACACCGCGGGGAAAAACCAAATATGAATTCACAGCTTGGGGGGGGGAACATGTGAATTCATATTTTGGAAGAAGAAAAAAACAAAAAAAAAAAAAAAAAAAAAAATGTGAAAACATGTTGTTGAATTTTGCATGGGAGTGGTCACGAAGGGGCCAGGATCTGAAATCACAGTTTGGGAAGAAGGAAAATGTGAAGAAGGGAAATTTGAATGCACACTATTGAATTTGTATTGGAATATATATGAAGGGGCAAGAATGTTAATTCACAGTTTGGAAGAAGGAAAATATGAATTCACGCGTTCGGAAAAGGAAAATGTGAGTTCACATGTTGAGACTCGCGGGGCCCATTTCAAATGTGTCCTAGAGGTAGACAGGTCATCGTTTGGGAACACGCGCGACGACCAATCGCACAATCAAGACACACCTGCACTCAACTTCGCCGCCCCACGCGCGACGCGCAAGAACGCCCGCACGCAAGAACGATAGTTAATGAATGGACGGCGCGTTTCCCCGCGCGAGCAACGCGCGGGCACGAACGACTGGCCCTCCACGGCCGCCAACATTGGGCGCCAGTCATACCCGGACACATTCATGAGCGATATATGGAGCATACATGGGCCACTCAGCCCCCAGTGCAGACCCCTCATTGCAGACCCCTTCTTGCACCCTCAAACTGGGCGACTACGCTGAGGACGCCAACCTGAAGGAGGTCATCGCGGAGGAGGAGCAGCTCGAGGTGAGGAACCTGAAGGAGGGGACGAAGCCACTGCCGATTGCAGGCAAGCGCACCTCTATCGTTGTCAACAAGAGCGGCATCCGGCCGCGCCAGGCCAACCAGGCCCTGGTCGCCGACATGGCCAGGTCCACTACGAGATCCGATCCGAGGCGATCAACACCACGAGCGACACCGTGCTCTACGAGTGGCGCCGCCAACCGAACAGCAAGCCCAGCGCCATCTGGACGATGAACGGAGGAGCAGCCGTCAGGGGCGAGCTACCTGCCTACGATCCGTCGCGACGGTTCACGGTCAACAAACTCGAGAGCAAGATCAGGCCGGCCCCCGCCCGCGGCAAAAGCGTCCGAGTCCACGCAGCGTTTCCGTGCCAGCCATGGACTTCTTGGCACCCGTCCAACGACTCGCTGGCCAGGGCTATCCGAGTCACAGACGGATCGCAGAGTGGTCGAGATGGCCCCCAACCTCCATTGGGAGGTCTGCGCCGCACATCTGCGACCACTACCCCACTTACCTGGAAGGACCAAGCTGGACCGCGATTTCAACGGCTCCATCGGGGTGGACCTCTTCGCCCTGGCCGAGCATGCCGGTTACCAGTTGGTCCTCCCCAGCGCGGTCGACCTGGCTTCAGGTTTTACCCTTTGCGGCACCGTTCCCTCGAGGCACCCCCCGGGTGTCCTCGCGCGACTGCCGCGGATCTGAATTGCACCATCTGGCGCGCCTCAACGCGCCGTCTTCGATGGGGGAGGCGAGTTCGAGCGAGACTTCTCCAAGAGGCTCGAGGACACGGGCCGCCGACCGACGATTACCGCCGCGGCTACGCCGCAGCAAAACGCCAACGCGGAGCGACACGGAGGCTCGTGGAAGGCCCATGCCGGGAAGCTGACCGACCAGTTCAGCATCGAGTTCGGCCAGCCCGAGACAGCTCACCGCGTTCAGTGGTTGATCGCATCGGTGCGCTGGCCCGTGAATCGCCGGGTCAACGCATCCGGCTACTCGACCTCTCGATTTGCATTCGAGCGAGGACTTCAACTACCATGCGTTTTGCTGGGCAACGCCAGCAGACTTCCCCTGCGCGGGCGCATCGCATCCGACAAGCCGTTCCCCGAAAGAGTTGCCATCGCGAAGGCCGCCCAGACTTCCGCCCGGCAGCTTCGGTCTAACCAACCCCTTCCAAGGGCGCTGCTGGCCCGGCCCCGGGCAGACGGAGCACAACATGCCACCGACGGTTACCAGACGGACGACCAGGTGCACCACTGGAGAGGCAACGGCAAGCCCAAGCGTGAACTGGCATTGCAGCGGCACGGACCCGGCGTAATCATCGATTTTGATGGCGCCACCAACGTCTGGGCCAGCTACCGCTCCACGACCGCGACGGTCAATCGTGGACACCCACGCCGCGCAACGGCTTCAGAGCTCGCGCCGCGGGGACAAGTGCTGAACGCCCCGAATGGCCATCCGTCGCCAGGGCCGCCGCGGGGCTCACCTCCCAGCGGGCCGCCAGGAGACCAACCACCACCACCTCCAGGTACTGGAGGACGAGGAGGAGGAGGCGGAGGAAGTGGACCAGCACCACCCGACACGGGCGGAGATACCTTCCTCGACCTCACGGGCGCCCCTCCGCAGAAGCGACCCGGCACTGGCGATTTACCTGAACCGTTTCAACAACAAGCACCGCCCGAACAACGAGCCCTACCAGCACTGACTCAAGAACAAGCCCTGCCCGCGCATAAATCTGGCACTATCGAGGACACAGCCGCGAATGGCAAGGCACACGCATTTGCTGAATGGCTTAGACGCAAGCACGGCGATACTGAGTTCTGTACCAGTGGAGGCGCCAGCGGCTGTAGCGGCCCGCCTAGCGCCCCGGGAGGAAACGTGGCTGCTGGCGCAGAGCCGCCGCCTGCACCACCCGCCCAAGTCGATGACTCGGGCACTGCTGCTACAGCCGCCGATCCTGCCGCCGCGGAGCCCGCGGTGCCAGAACAACGCGGACATGATCCAGGAGTGGGCCACGTTCGCGGGCGAGCAAGTTCCGCAAGATGCGGTGGCTCGGCGACCAATGGACACCGAGAACCAGCGCGGGGCTAAGACCAAGCGCCAGCTGCGCCAGGAGGACGCCCCACACGCACTCCAACGTGATCGCCAGGAAGACCGCGACCCGCGCGAGCGAGCCAACAAGCGCAAGGAGCTCTTGGACGACTTGCCCGAGTGCTTCAAGAGGCCGAAGGACAACTGCAAGGTCGACCTCTTCCTGAACAACGATTGCCAGACTCACCCGGACGAGATCTCCTCGCCCATTCGACTCCGCGAGGTGATGTTCACGGGCAGCGCGACCTCGAAGGAGCTGAAGTACGATGACCTCGGCGTCATGGAGGAGAAGAACGCGGACGTCGCCATAAAGACCGAGTGGTCTATGTGGACGGAGTTCGGCGCCTACACGCAGCTCCCTGCCAAGGAGCTGAGGGAGTTTTTGCGTCGCAACCCTAGCATGCATCCTGCGGGGACACACTGGGTGCTGACCAGGAAGGGCCAAGACGTCATGAAGGCCCGGCTGGTTGTCCAGGGCTGCCAGGAAGATAAGTCGCAGATCAGGACAGACGCGCCTACAGGATCGAGGGACGCCTTGTACCTGGCCCTCGCCGCTGCGGCTCAGAAGGGTTGGAACCTCAAGTCCTACGACGCGATGACAGCCTACCTGCAGTCAGGGAACATCGAGAGGCCGCTGCTTCTGCGCATGCCAGCCAAGAACCCACTGCCAGAGATGCAACCCGGCGAGATCGCGATGGTCACCAGCGCAATCTACGGGGCGCCCGACGCGGGCCGGCAGCGGCACCTCTACGCGCAGAAGGTCTTCGCCGAGCACGGCCTCATCGAGAGCAGGCTCGAGAAGGGCCCCGACTACTTCTACGACGAGAAGGGGCTCGCCGCCATAATCCACTCGCACGTGGACGACTTCCCGATCGCTCAGCGCACAACTCCAGCCGTTGGAGATCCACGATCGTCTTGCTGGAGAAGGAGCTGCTCCTCAAAAGGGGGTCATCAAGTACTGCGGACGAACCATTACCAAGCTCGACGACGAGTTCAGGGTGACCCAGGCCACCGCCGCCGCGCTGGTGGACTTCATAGACTCCAAGGCCGAACGAGGTCGAGGTGCAGAGGATCGACTCACCACCTCGGAATTGTCAGGACATCGACGCACGCTCGGGCAACTGCTTTGGCTAGCAGCCCAGACCCGGGTTGACATCGCCTGTCCGGTGAGCTTCGCTGTTCGCCGCGCGGACGCCGCTTCTGTGGCCGACGCAAAGACGTTGAATGAGACCGTCGCCTACGTGCACTCTACCGCGGACTTCGCGATCGTGCTCAAACAGAACCTCGTCGATCTGATGACGCGCGCCACCGCGTGCTTCAGCGACGCCGCGTTCGCCAACGTAGACGGGGTCAAGAGCCAACGGGGCATGGTGATGGAGCCAACGCACCAGCCCCGAGATGTCATCGGAGGCTGGTTTGACCCGTGCTTGCCCGTGGCCTGGCACTCAGGCACAGCAAAGAGGTCGGTCAAATCGACCCTCGCTGCTGAAGGCCATGCAACCGTCGAGGGAGCGGAGACCAACACCTGTCTCCGCCAGTTGCTCACCGAGGCGAACCCCCATCAAGCCGCCCAAGATGATCGACGAGCTCGCGGATAAGCGACCCGGGGAGATTTACAGCGACAGCAAGGGCCTCGCGACGCACATCCAGTCTGACGTGGGCCAGTCCACGGACATGCGGTTCCGCATCGCCGCCTCCATGATCAAGGAGGCCATGCATCCGAATTGCGCCCTGCGGCTCAACCGGATTCCTACTTGGGCCATGGTCGCAGACGCCTTGACGAAGACGATGGAGGCCGGCGCGCTGCTCTGTCTTCGGGGCCCGCAGACAGACCTACGGCATGCGACAGCCGCGCGCCGACATGCTCGCCTCGGTTATGTTTACCTGCTCGGCAGGGCCATGGGGTAGCCTGCGCCATCGCCTACTCCGCCCAACGATATCATGCTCTACTGCTACACGTGCTACACGACCTGCTTTGCTTTCTTCCTCGGCATCATCATCGGGCGTGGCATGTTCGTAAGCCTGTGGGCGACCCTGAGGCAGAACCATATGCTCTCGCTGCGCGAACCTCCGCCAGCATCGGAGCTTAAGGCAGCAGACGACGAACATCTGCGTTGGGACGGACGACGTCTGGACAGGCGCAACCATTAAACGAGACAGCCGACCATCCCAGAAGAGCAGGATCAAGATGGTGACATCTACATGCCCTCCGCGGACGGTCACGACAACGGCCGGGCATCGAGCTCGTCGGCAGCCAGCGCCAGCGCCAGCGCGCTGCCCCCGCCGCCCCCGCCACCTGCACCGGCGGAGCCACAGCTTTCGAGCTCGCAGCCTACACCGCCGCCAGGGATTGGATCGTCAGCGCCAGCATCGCCGGGCGTGGTCTCATTCACCAGCTCGTCGAGTGCCAGCCTGACTTCGTGGAACAGATCGACGCCTATGGTCGCACCGCTGGAGATGAACCCTTGCGCGGTGGCAGCGCACAACCTTCGAGTCGGACACCAACCACCACAGCGTCTACGTCACCTGCAGGACCTGTCGGAAGCACGCATCCTGGCTCCTACGCAACTATCGAGATCATGAGCCTGCTTTCTCGCCTATGCACTATACGCCGAGGTGGGAGTTGAACCATCACTGGAGGCAGCTCACAGGCCACTACCCGACTACGATGGGAAGCGAGGCTGCAAAGGTTGAGGGGATGATTTCCCCCGCCGCTGCGTCTTTCATATTTCGTGACGGTCGCAAGACGACCCAGTTTTTACGTAAGTCCGCATTGCGCAATTTTGCCGTGTTGCTTGCTGGGCCTTCCGTGACTACCCCAATGGTCATCGACGTGCATTCCGATGGGGGGAGATCGGGTGCTGGGACATCTCGCATTTTTCCCATGGCCATCGAGGTGCATTCCGACGGGGGGAGATCGTGTGATGGGCCTCCCTTACTGTTCCCATGGCCATCGATGTGCATTCCGATTGGGGGAGCCTGTGCGCTGGGGTAGGCTTGGCCCGTTCGTCAGTAGTGGTTGGGACTGGCGGTCTGTCATCGAGCCAAGCGTCCGCGCGCAAACGAGGCAATGCTGTTCATGATGGAGTGGCTGAAGATGCAGACGTGAAGCCCCCCGACCCTGCCAACGCGACTGCGGGGGGTGCAGGGCAAACGGCTGCCCCAGCACTCGCGGCCCCGCCTCGCCCGGGGGCCTCGGCCGCGGCACAGGAGCCGAGGACGAGCGCCCAGGCGCGGCCCGGGGCAGCCAAGGCGGCCGCGTCGCAGCACCCGAGGCGAGGCGGCGAGGCAGCCAGGGGGACCGTGGGGGAGCAGTTCTTTGAGCACCTCACGCACCTCCCCGAGCCAGGGGCAGATGTTCGACCACTCCATGGCGAACATGGAGGGCATGCGACGCGCGCCCCCGCGCGCCACGGGGGCCCCCTGGGCGACGGCGATGCCGTGGATGGGGCTGTCCACGTGAAGAAGTATGCGGCGGCCAGCGAAGTCGTTGGAGTCAGAGTCGGGGCGCAGCATGCGACTCCGAGGAACAGCCGACTCGCCCAGACGGGTGCCCATGCAGGGACTGGCAGCTCTGCACCTAGCCAGCCAACCATATGCAATCGTGGGGCAGGTCCGTTGGTATTGGTACTAAGTGCCACGCTACCGACGGCGCTTCGAGGTGGCCGCCGAGCAGGTGGCGGACCAGGCCATGAACGAGCGGGAGGGCCTTTGGGAAGCGCATGGAGCTCCCTGGACGGCCACCCCAGGCGATGCTGCAATATGGCCTGCGCCCCCCCCCCCCCCCCGATCAGCGGCAGCGACATCAGGAGGGCGGCGGGCACCTTCTCATGGAAGACAGCGGTGGGCCAGTCTCGACTACACCCGCGGCAGCTCTGGTTCGTGCCGCATGATGCCATGGAGGTGCTCGCGGCCCTGTTCACCCTTTGCGAGGAGCTCTTGTGCTGGCCGCCGGAGCGGATCATCAACGTGATGGTCCGCTTGCCGAAGCCCGACGGCGAGGGCTGCCGCCGGATCACCTTGGCTAAAACGCCCATTCGAGTGCGGGCGAGGGTACGCAAGCCACTCTCGCAACAGTGAATCAGGGACAACCCCGATGACGCAATCTTCGGCATGAAGCGCGGGGCGACGGCCACGGCGTCGGCGCACCGCCACAACGTCCAAACCGAGATCGCCCAGCTGCTGGGGGAGGCCAGCTGGACTGTGATCATGGATACGCACAAGGACTTCGATAGCGTGCTCATAGGCCCCCATCCTCGAGCAGGCTAGGGCCCTCGGTTTCCCTACGCGGCTGGTATGGATGTGTGTGAGCTATTTCAGGATGCCGAGGGTGCTGCAGGCGCACGGCTGCTGGAGCCGCATGGTGGTGACCAACAGCAGCATCCTGGCGGGGTGCACCCACAGCGCAGCCCTGCCGACGGGGCCGCCCTTCCAGGCCGTCACGCGCCTTCTCAACATCGCGCACCAGCTGGCCCCGAGATCCCTCATGGACGGCCTCACCACCCAGTGGATCGGCCAGGTTGGCGACGGCGGCGCCAGCATGTTGCGAAGGGCGGTCCGCGAGCTCACGGAGCAGATGCGGCCGCTGGGCATGCAGATCAACAAGTTGGCCAAGTCAGGTTGGCTCGCCACATCGCAGGACGCCAAGATGGAGTTTCGGCCCGCTGCCAGAGCCCCGGCGCTGCCCGAGAGGCAGGGCCCCCGCAGCTTCGGCCACGACACGCACGGCACGGCGGCGCGGAGGCCTGTGGCGAGGGCTAGACTGGAGAAGCTCCAGGCGCGTCAACCTCGAATAGATGCGCTGGCGAGGATTCGCGGGCCCTTGCCGCGCTCAGGCACCGCGCTATGCTGCTGTGCTGCTGTGCGGCCTCGATCACGGCGTACCTGGCCACCCAGCGCGGCCCTTTCCTCGACCCGGTGCACGAGGCCACGGCGGCGCCGCTGGTGGCCCACGCTGCGCAGATTCGGGACGGCCACCCCCCGCTGGCCAAGCCGCAGCAGGCCCGGGGCGCCCTCGAGCAGCGGCGGAGCGAGACGGCGCCCTTCTGGCAGACGGCGAGGGGCCCGATCGCCGATCGCCGCCCTGTGGCTGAGCGCGCGCCGCATTGGATGGGACATGCACACCAGCCTAGCCCTCGTCGGCGGCGAGGGACGCCCGATCGAGCTCCTCAGGCAGCACCCGCAGGAGATGCGCAAGCTCGCGCGGGAGGGCGTGGCGTGGTGGCATGGACGCCAGATCCCCAGTCACCACCAGTCGAATACATCGCTCATGGGCGCCAGGCTCTGGCGCAGGGCAGCCAGGCACGTGCCGGCGCCGCCGCGCGCCAAGATCCGAGGAGCGAGGGCAGGCCACCCGCGGAAGCTCTGGGCAGGAGGTGCATGGGATGCTGTGCGGCGGCACGCAGCGCGCTACATCAGCAGCCCCGACTGCCCGTTCTGCGCAGCGCCCACACCTGGCACGCGAGGCCACTGGACGCACGAGCGCGAGCGCGTCGCTGCCACGGGCGGGGAGGGCGAGACGGGCGCGGCGCTGGAGGAGCTGACGGACCAGCAGCAGCGGACCAAGAAGAGGATGCGGGAGCGGTGCCGCATCGGAGTTGCCGACGCCGACTACGACCGCTCCGACCTCACGGCTGGCCCCCCGCCCATCCCTTACTAGGCCCCCCCCCCCCGCAGCAGGACGGCGGACATCCACCTCTGGGGGGGCTGGTCCAGCAGCGGCGAGGGCGCCACCGCGGCGGTCTACTTGGACGGTTCAGGGTACGAACCCGCGACGCCTGAGCTCACCAGGCGCGGCCGGGCGTCTGCGCAGCTGGACAACATGGGCTGGCCCTGGCGGGCGGCGCACGGAGCACTCCCAGGCCACCGCCAGACGGTGGGGAGGGCAGAGAGACGGGCGTTCTTGCAGGCGCTGCAGTTGGCGCCCGACATGGAGCTCCTCATCACCGACCCGGCAGGCCTGAGGAGCGAGGTCGCCGATTGGGACCCTTGGTTGGCGATCGCGGCTGGGCAGTACGCAGATATCTGGCGACAGATCTTCGAGGTGCAGAGGGGCCGTGAGCCGCCTGAGGCGCTGTGGTGCCCTGCTCACCTCACGTTTGTGGAATTCGCGTTCGACCCAGAGCGAGATGCGATGGACGTCCTCGGCAACGCCTGGGCGGACTGGTTCGCCAAGGCGGGGGCCAGGGAGCATCGGTTGCCTGCTCTGCTGGCGGATCCCCTGAGGACCCGGCTCTCCGACGCAGTGGAGGAGGCGCCCGTGCCGGCGTGGCACCAGGCCGCGATCGGAGGCTTCGCGGAGGAGCTGAGGGTGAGCAGGAGGCGTATGAGTTTGCCGCCAGTGCTTGTCGCCCCTGCACAGTCGGGGCGTGGCCGCCACTTGTTCGTCAAGCGGCCAGCGGGCTGAGCGAGTACAGCATGCACGGCCACCGCCACGACGGACGAGGCGAGGCGGAGGCTCGAGCGCGAGGATTGCGCGCCTTCCTCGCTCCAGGCCTTCATGGCGCGTGCCCGCGCCCGCCTCCCTCCTTCCGCCTCCGCCTCGTTGGCCGCGGCCGCGGAGCCGCTCCCCTCGGCGCGCGAGGAGGCCATGGCCATCACACTGAGAGCGGCGGATCGCATCCTCGGTGGTGGCGAGCCGACCGTGGCCCAGATATGGTCCTCCTCGGCCCACGGCTGCGAGAAACTGGATTCCTGTGCCGCCCGCGCGGGGAAGGGACCGATCCAGGTCCCCGCGGCGGGGCCCCGACGGGGGACCCAGCGTCACCTCGGCTCGTGCCTGGAGGGAGTCCCATCCTTCGGACGGGAGACCCTGGATTCGAAGTGTGGACGTGCCGAGGGGCCGTCGGGCTTAGGCGGGGCCCCATGCGGGCCCGAGGGTGGGGACGGGGCGGCGGCCGCCTTGCCTGTGTCCCCTGGAGCCCGTTGTACAGGGGGGTCCCCGCCCAGGGCCCTAGGGCCCGTGGAGCCTTTGACCGAGGTCATCAGGGGCCATCAGATGGCCTCCTGTGGCCCCTTCGTGCTTTGTCGAGTTCGCGGTGGATGAGCATCCCGTCTTGATGACCCCACGTAAGGGGCTCGTCAGCTGGGAGAGTAGTCGTCTCAGGACGACCGCCTTGAGACACCTCGAGGTGGGTCGGCACCCTCGGACGGGGATCCCCCTACAGAGCGGGTTCCACAACGCTTAGCGGTGATCTGTCCTCGAAGCGCCCTGGTTTTTCCCTACCTAGGCTCTGCCTAGAGGGTTCTTACCCTGTATCTTAAAGGGGCCGGGCAGTGGAACGCGCCCCGGGCGGTTCCCCCGGCATCCGCCCCGCGGTTCCCCCAGTTACGTCCGTCTCCTTAGCTTAGCGTTGCTTATATCATCTTGCTTATATGATTTCGGATTAGCTTAGCTTTGATTAATCTTAGTTCAGGTTTATCCTAGCTTAGCTTACCTTCGCCTTAGCTTCGCTGAGCTTTAGCATAGCAGAGCACAGCATAGCATATCATAGCGTAGCATTGCATAGCGCAGCATAGCATTAACATGGGTGTACTTCCCTACCTTGGTTATGCCTAGAGGGTTAGCTTAGCTTTGCATAGTATAGCGCAGCGCTGCATTAGCATAGCATAGCATAGCATAACATAGCCAAGCGTAGCCTAGCATAGCATAGCGCAGCATAGCATAGCATAGCATAGCAAAACATAACATAACATAGCATGGCGCAGCTTAGCATAGCATAGCATAGCTCAGCATAGCACAGCGCAGCATGACATAGCATAGCATTGCATTGCATAGCATAGCGCAGCATAGCATAGCATAGCATAGCATAGCATAGCGCAGCATAGCATGGCATAGCATAGCGTAGCATAGCATAGCATAGCAACTAATGCTGCTTTCCTAGGGGCTCCAACTTCTAGGTAGGGTCGCACTGGGGTAATTATATCCGTGGCGACCCTCTCGAGCCTCGGGTCCTCCTCCTCGTCCTCCCCCTCCCCCTCCTCGTCATCCTCATCCCCCCTGTTCTGGAGGGGTGCGCACGGGACCGCATGGGTCCTGATGCGAGGCCCGCGCACGCCTGACCGCGTCGGGGCAGCGCCGAGCGCCACAGCCCCGCCTGTTCTCAGAGGAACGTCCTCGATATCCTCGACCCTGCCCGCTCCAGGCAGGCCTGAGCGCGGCGCGAGCACCACCGCAAGCTGGCGCCGCTCGGCGAGTTTAGGCAGCTCGTGCCCGGCCGCTGCGCCGAGCACAGGCTTCTGCCACCCGGCGGCGGCCGGTGCGGTCGCCGCCAGGCTGTCTCCGCTTCTCTTTGTTATCGGGTGAGCGGTGGGCGGTGAGAAAAGTCGATCGATACGCTCGATAACCGATCCCCAGCTCCTCTCCCCCCTCGCCTTGCCACGCAGGCGCCTTGACCCCGAGCGCGCCACACGGGAGGAGTGGAGTGGTTTTCGTTTTCCGTCTCCTTCAAAGAGGGCGTGCCCCTGACTGGATGCACATCCGTCGCCCGACCCAGGAGGGGGTGGCTGGAATCTGGGAGAAGGTGGGAGCAGCAAGAGGGGGAGGAGAAGAAGTGGAGGGGGGAGGGGGAGGAGGCACCTGGCATTTGCTAATCACGCAGCGCAGCCATCGCATGAGCATTCAGAGATTAACCCGCAAGGTCGAATTTCACCAGCTGCCTGAACTCGGCCAGTGCCAAGCGATTCCCAGTATCGGGCAGGGCGATGGTTAAAGCTCCAGCTCGCAGCTCGTTCTTCCTGATCAGGCAGTGCAGCCGCCGCACTTGAACTCCAAATTTAAACCCCATGTCCGCGAATTGATGGAGGGGTAGAGGCGAGGCAGCATCATGATCATGTGAGGGCCATGGCATGATAGTAGCACAGGTTAGTGTGTCAAGGTATTGCTCCACATGCGCTCTTACCTGCTCACTGTAGCAGTCTAAGCGAAGAGAAGAGGCGATGGGAGAGGACACGTTTGTCCTAAGGACCTCACGACCATGCATCCGCCCGACCTGCTGCGCCGGTGGTTCACCCTGCAGATCGACGCCAGCGAGCCGTGGAAGTACGACACTACGATGACGACCACGGGCGAGGAGGGGCGCTGCACTCGGCCCAGCCCTGCCCACCACAGCCACTTCATAAGATGGGCGTCGACCAAAGCTTCGATCGATTGAGACCACATAGGGGATGCCGTGGTTGTCGTTTTGGTTGAACGCGCCGGTTTCGGCCAGATCCGGGCCCTCGCAGGGGCCCAGCACCCTCGTGTTCCCCGCTCTCGACTCTGCGAACAGCGCCGATGTCGAGATTTCCTGCCCGCGCGCGTGTCTACCTCACCCTGCAGCCGTCGCTGCTCTTCACCGCTGCTCCTCATCCTCCTGTGCCCGGAGCAACCAAGCGGCATGGAGCAGGCACACGCGAAATTGCAACTCTCTACGAGGAGCAGCGGCACTGGCCGTGAAGCGCGAGTGGCACACGAGCCACGGCGGACGGCCCGGGAAGCCGCTGCGGGGACTCCGTCTGGCGGAACGGCAGACGAGACCGTGCCAGTCTGCCCTTTCTTCTGCCTCCTCCTCCTTCTTCACTCCTCACCCCTCCTCCTCCTCCTCCACCTCATCCTCCTCCTCCTCCTCCTCCTCCTCCGCCTCCTCCGCCTACTCCGCCTCCTCCTCCTCCTCCTCCTCCTCCTCCTCTCCTCCTCCTCACCCCTCCTCCTCCTCACCCCTCCCTCCTCCCCCTCCTCCTCCTCCTCCTCCTCCTCTCTCCCCTCCTCCCTCCTCCTCTCCTCCTCCTCCTCCTCCTCCTCCTCCTCCTCCTCCTCCTCCTCCTCCTCCTCCTCCTCCTCTCCTCATCACCCTCACTTCTCACTCCTCACTCCTCACTCTTCACTCCTCCTCACTCCTCACTGTTCATTCTTCACTCCACGCCCCTTCTCCTCCTTCCTCCTCCTCCTCCTCTCTCCTCCCCCCCTCCTCCTCCTCCTCCTCCTCCTCCTCCTCCTCCTCCTCCTCCTCCTCCTCCTCCTCCTCCTCCTCCTCCTCCTCCTCCGTCCTCCTCCGTCCTCCTCCGTCCTCCTCCGTCCTCCTCCTCCTCCTCTCCCTCCTCCTCCTCCTCCTCCTCCTCCTCCTCCTCCTCCTCCTCCTCCTCCGTCCTCCTCCTCCTCCTCCTCCTCCTCCTCCTCCTCCCCTCCTCTCCGTAGCCATTTTGGCTCAAGATGCCCAGTTCCACAGGGGAACAAGTGGATACCGCTAGTCCGCGGCCAGTGCCAGGGCTCTCGGGCCCGACAGCCCTTTCTCTTTCCCAAGTGCAGACTGCAGCACCATGGCTGGCGCCGGCCGAAAGGAGCGCCAGGATTGGGTATGCAGGAGCTGTACGACAAAGCGCGGCAGGCAGCTCATCAACTACGGGACCGCGCTCAAGTGCCAAGGGTGCAGGCTCCACAAGAAGGATGTGTACGGCGGGCCCGTGCCGCCGAAGGAGCCCTCGACGCGGGTTGCTGCCAAGGGCAAGAAGCGGGCCCCGTGGACAGCTGAGGGCAAGCTCGAGAGCGAGCTCGCGGCCGTCAGGGCGGAGCTCGACGCTGCCAAGAAGAAGCTGCGCACGCAGGAGTCCGACCAGGGCGGGGCCGCGCCCATGCACGTGGACGAAGGCAAGGTGGGCGAGGACGCCTCGGCTGCCGACGAGATCAAGGTGTGCGAGGCAGGCCTGGCCACGCTCAAGGACGTGCAGCACGACTGGGCCATTGGCCCGCGAGATGATCTCAAGCGCAGGCTCGCCGCCGCCAAGGACAGGCTCTTCGCCGCCAAGCCGCTCCACGCGCGGGTGCAGGCGCTGGCCCACAGGCAGAAGAACCTTGCGGACAAGCTCTGCAAGATGGAGCGGGCCGAGCGCGAGGCGGAGGACCGCGTCAAGGAGGCGCAGGACGAGCTGGAGCTCAAGCGGCAGGGCGTCAGGGAGCTCAAGGCGCAGCAGGTGGCCCTCCAGGCGGAGCAGGCGGCACTACAGCAGCAGGTCCCTGCCGCGCCAGAGGATCGTCCGCCTGGGCAGTCCATGGAGAACGACGTCATCAAGAACACGGGCGGCATCACCCTCGGCGACCTGGAGCGGGCTCTCAGTGGGGCCCTGGCCGCTCATCCCGACGGCACCGTGCCGGCCGCGGGCGATCTGCCGCAGCGGCTGGCCACGGCGCTATGGGGGCCCCTCCAGGAGCTCACACTGCGGCGGCAGCGCCAGCGGGCCGACGCTGCGGAGGCAGCTAGCGCTCCTCGCACCCCTGCAGCGCCCGCAGATGGAGACGACGACGACGCCGCCGAGCTTGGCGCAGGCAGCGCAGGCGGCGCCCCCCCCGCAGCCGCTGCGCCGCGTTGGGATCCCGCCGCGATGGAGCCCGAGAAGCTACGGCAAACCATGGCTGAGTTCGCACCAGGGCCAGCAGAAGAGTCCAGCGACGCCGTGCTGGCGCGGGCCAAGGAGCTGGCCGTCAGGGGCTTCAATCCTTACTAAGCTCATCATCGCGATGTCCTGCGCACAAGCGATGGCAAAAGGTACTATCACTACCAGCAACGTGACTTCCTGGGGTTCTTTGGCGCCGTGCCTTGAGACCCTCCAGTCGCATGTCGTTCTCGTTCAGGAGCATCACCGACGGGACGAGGCGAAGCTCGCCGACCTGCAGCACGAGGTGCTGGACCACGGGTTCGCGGGCATCTGGGCGCCAGCGGTGGCAGGCCCCACCTCCGCGGAGGGCACGACGGGCGGGGTCGCTGTCCTGGCCCGCAAGAACATCCCCGTCACGGCCCCGCCGCTGCTGCCCTCGGCGACGCTCTGGCCAGGGCGACTGCTGGCCGCCCACGTGCATTGGGGAGTACGTGGTGGCATTGTCTTCGTGTCGGCCTACCTGGTCGACAGCGTCGGTATGAACGAGGTGAACCGTAGCATCTTCGGCGCGCTCACCCGCTACCTCACGAAGCTCACGGCTTCTGGCATCGACTGGATAGTCGGCGGCGACTTCAATGGGCCTCCCAGCTTCCTGCCTCTTGCGCAGTTGGAGAAGGCGGGGGGCCTTTGGCTAGCGCCGTCGGCCGACACCTGTCGCCCGCAGGTGGGCAGCGGATCGGTGCTGGACTACTTTCTGGTCGGTGCAAACCTGGCCAGCCGCATCTCGGCTCCGAGAGTGGACGAGTTGGGCATCACCTCCCCGCACCTCCCTGTCAACATGGAGCTGCGGGCCGCTGACCTGGACATGCGCGTGAGGGTCCCGATCGCCCCCAGGGCGATCCCAGCGGTGCCGCCCATCGGATGCAGCCGAGGTGTCGAGGACTGGGCGCCCGCTCTGGCCCAGGTGCGCGCCACGGCCAGCGCCGAGGAGCTGCCAGCAGCCTGGGACGCTGTCGTCAGCACCCTGGAGCAGGAGTTGCTGGACCGCTACGACCAGGTGGGCGCAGCGCGCAGGCGGTTCGAAGGGCGCGCGGGGCCCATTGCAACTAAGATGGCGCCAGTCAAGTGGAAGCCGCAAGGGCAGCGTGTCCGACTGGGGCCTGACGTCATCGCGGCCAAGATAGCGGGCCGATGGGCGCGTCACTTCATGGGGGTCAGTGCGTTCCTCGCGAAGGCCAGCAGGAGGCTGCACTCCGCCAGCCCGCAGTGCGCCCTCCCCCCCGAGCAGTACCATGAGCTTGCGGACTTCGTCGCGAGGGCGCTGGAGTATGGGCGAGTGGTCATGGACAGCAAGAAGACGCTGGCGCTGCTCCCGCATTGGGTGAGGGCCTTCTTCGAGCAGGGCTTTCGCGTCATCGGCAACACCGACTTCCTGGAGCAGGCGGGCCGCATCGTCCAGTTCGCCAAGGACGCCTACGCGGACGCGCTCAAGGTCAGGCAGCAGAGCTGGGTCCAGTGGGCCAACGACAGCCTGCGGAACGGCGCTGGCAAGGCGCACCGCTTCACCAAGCTGCGTGCGATGCAGGAGGTGCTGGCGCAATGGCAGGGCACTCACACCGAGCTCACCACTGGACGTCCCGCACAGGCCTCCGTCCAGCAGCAGCAGGTCGCCAGCCAGCACCTGATTTGCGATCGGGAGATGAAGGCCTGGGAGGACGTCTGGTCGTGCCACAAGCTCGAGGCGCTGGAGAGGCCAGCTGACTTCGACGAATGGGACGACCTAGAGGACCTCACCGTGGAAACGCTGCAGCGGGCCGCCTGCAGCTTCCCCACCACCACGGCGCTGGGCCCGGCGCAGATCGGCATGCGCGCGCTCACCTTTCTCACGGACGAGGGCGTGTACACCTGCGGCCAGCTCTTTATGAAGTGCGAGGCGCTGGGGGCCTGGCCTAGCGATAGGCTGTGGCATGCTATGTGCCGCATCCCCAAGGCCTCTGGTGGCTGCAGGCTGATCACGTTGATGCATTCTCTAATCCGATGGTGGTCGAGGGCTCGTGCTGCGACGTCCAAGGCGTGGCTCACTGCGCACCCCAATGCCAGTATTTGGGGCATGGGCGGCGGCAGATCCTCCTCCGACTCCGCCTTCGACCTCAACCTCGAGACGGAGATATCGGACTGCCTGGACGAGCACGTGGTAATCGTCATGCTGGACGCGTGGAAGTTCTTTGAGACGATCAAGCCCGAGTGGCTACTTATCGAGGCGCGGCTGCTGGGCATGCCGCTGCGATTGGTATGGATGCTGATTGAGTTATACAGGCAGCCGAGGCGGCTGCAAGCTTTCGGCTCGGTGTCCTACGCGGTCGTGTCGCATCAGGGCGTGCTCGCAGGGTGCACTCACGCCTGTGCTATGGTCACCCTGCTCATGTTCAGGCTGCTCGAGCAAGTACGAGATGCAGGCGTCACCCCGAGGGCCCTCATCGACGACGTCACCTTGCAGTGGCGAGGGAGGCGGCTTTCGCAACTGGGTGTGCTGTGGGCGGCCACCACCAGGTTCCGCGAGGGCGCCCAGGAGCGAGGCATTGTCGTGCAGCCTACCAAGTCGGGCTACTTGGTCTCATCGGACGCAGCTGCTCGTGAGTGTGCCCGACACGCGGCGGCCCGCAAGCTGACCAAGATGCGCTGGGCCCGCAACCTGGGGCATGATCTGGGCGGGCGAAGAATC